ACTTGGACATCTCATAGGATCTCAAACTTGATGCGCCCCAAATAGAACACTGGATTTCTAGTGCTAAGCTCCTCTCTCTGCCTCTTTTTTGCCCTAAACTCTAACCCTGTTCCTTCCCTTGTCTTATTCATCTTGGTTAATGCCACCACTGTCTACTAATTGCTTAAGCTACCTGCAAAACATTTTGGATCTACTTTCAAAATGTTTTCAGAATCCATTCATCTCTCTCCATCTTCAGTGCAATAGCCTAGTCTTTCTAGACTAGACATTTCTTGAAAGGTAAGTCAGCTGTCTGACACCTTCATAAAGCCTTTCACAGCTTCTCATTGCAATTAGAATCAATTCTAAAAGACTTGCCTTGGCTTTGAGGCCATTAACTGGCCTCAATCGATCTCTCTAATATAATTTTTTTCTGCCATTTCCCCGTCTCTGCCTACCCCCAGCCACATGGGCCTTCTTTCAGTTCCTACAGCAAGCCGACCTCTTCCTCTAGAATCTCCCCAGGCTTTCTCTTCTCCTTGGGAAGTTCTCTGAAGGTCCTCGGCTCCTTAGTATCTTTAGAACTCAGCTACTTGGAGTAGCCTTCACTGACACCACATTGAAGCCCCATCTCCCCTTCCCTTTCATTCTCTATCACAGCAGCCTCCTTATCACTCTTACTATAGTTATCATGATCTTTAACTACTTATGTCCACTTTTGTTTGACTCTCCCACTAGATTTTAGGCTCTGTGAAGGCAGGACCATGGCCTGACTCGCTGTGCTATCACCAGAGTTGTTCCAGTGGTGGGCACGTGGTGGGCACATGGTGGGAAGTCAGTCAGCTTGTGGAATGGATGAAATGGATGCACCTGCATCAGTGGTCCTCAACACTGGTCACACATGAGAATTACCAGAGAGAGCTTAAAAAAAATACCAGTGCCCGAGCTCCTCCCCACCAGAGACTCCTATAATGAGTGTAGCATGGGCCCTGGCACTGGTATGTCTAGAAAGCTCTTCCGGTGATTCTAAGGTACAGTCCAAGAAGAGAATCGCTGGCCAAAATGAACTACAAGGGACCATTCAGATGTTACTAAAATCCTAACCCGGGGAAAGAGTTCTCAGACCTAGTTTATAATCAACAAGATGAGCAAAAGCAAATTAACTGACTTGCATGTGTTTCATGGAAAAAGGATAGTGGCCAGAAATGGGACACGAAGAAGGCTGAGGAACACGATGAGCCAAACTGGAGGCTGTGAGAGGCAGAAGGAACATCTGGGCCTGGAGGACAGCAGGACATTAGGCCATGGCGTCAGCAGCTGCGGTGACTGGACCCACTGGGGGCCTAATCCGAAGGTTTGTTCCCTTTCCTTGTCTGTCTCCAGGGTCTGGCGTGCGCCACGTCAGGAAACGTATGGAGATGCTCTTGGCGTTGTCACCCTGGGCAGTGTGAGGGTCCCGGGTAGGCAGCCAGGAAGACCGCTTTCCCTTCCCTTCTCCCCGTCTTCACGTCTCAGGATGCCAAGCCTTGGGTCCTCACCAGCAGGGAAGTAGACAGCTGAAGAAATGGCCCTGGAATGATCCGCAGCAGGAAAGGGGGAATCTTGGGGAACCCGGGGGTGAGTGGAAGGAAGAGAAAGGGGTCTAAGGAGGAAGGAGATTCTTCGTTGACTGTGCGGGAGGCCAGCTGGGCAGAAAAGCAGTGGAGGGAATTCGGGGGAAGAGAGCTGCCCCTGGGGTTTCTAGAGGAGCGTGACACGCTGGACCGAAGGCCCTCCCAACACAGGCTCTGGCCTCGGAGGGTGTGACTTACTGGCTCACATCTAGGGTGTTTGTGATAATGGCTGTAAGCCACCTCCCTCCCACAATCAGGGTTCAGAGCTGGAGTCTCCACAAATATCACAGCTTCAGAGAAACACTTCCAAAACTCCAGGCCTTCGGGGTACTGCATGGAGATTGAAGGGGGACGAGGTGGTCTGCGATTCCTGAGCGACCTGTTTACCCCAGAGGTCACAAACCGTCAGTCCTTCTGACCGTCACCCATGTTTTATTGTCGTGCACGGTTTTTAAAAAGTCATTGAAAATTTTGGCATTTAAAAATTTTGTAGTTGAGGATTTAAAAGAAACTGGATGACCTGGAAACACCAGGCCTTTGTCCTCTGCAGGATGCAGATCTGGAGCTGGCTCCTCCTTCCCTCCCCACCTCCTTCCCTTGTCCACAAACCCTCACTGCGCACCCGCTTCCGCAGCAAGGTCAAAGACGAAAAAGGTGCCGCGGACTCTGTGTGCTCCGGCTTTCCCTGCATGAGACTTGGCCAAAAGCTGAGATAAGATCTGGGACTTGGATTCAATTCTCCATTCTCTGAGTCATCCTGCTGTGCAGATACCGTTAGTTTGGTTGTCCATTAAAACTGTCAAATAATTTGTCTTCCAAACGGGCTGTTCTGAGCTGCATTCAGAAGCCGCAGTGCGAGATGGCCGTGCTGGATAATAAGCTGTTGTGTTTCGGTTCCAGCCAGCCTTTCCTTTCTCTGCGTCATGATGCTGGGTCTAGACTCCCTGGACTCGAGTTCTGCCTGTCAGCTGCTTCCCATCAGGCTCTGCGGGAGAGCACCCGAGAGGGGGACACGGCCGGGAGGAGGGTCCACTCCCTCCGCTCTGCCCTGCCGCAGGACTCGAACTCGCCCGAAGCCGCAGGGGGCGTTCCCCAGCCCCTTCCACACTCCCGGAGCCCCCTCATGTGTCCTGCTGTCCCGCGACAGTTCCATCTCCTCAAGGTACAGTGCCGTCTCCTCCAAGGTCTGAGATCTGGGGCCCCGGGGCCCCTCCCCAAGCCTCGGGGTTCTGGTAACGCTAAACTCCTCCCTCGGTGAAGCGGCTGCTGTCTGAAATCACCATGTCTGAGTTACCGCAGGGTCTCCTCGCTTTCTTGGTCCTCCACCACCTGTTGAATCAATTCCCTGTGGCCCCAGCTCTCAAACTTGAGCTTGCATCAGAATCACCTGGAAGACTTGAAACACAGCCTGCTGGGACCACCCCAGAGTTTCTGGTTTAGTGGGTCTGGGGTGAGGCCTGAGAATCTGCTTTCCTATCAAGTTTCCAGGTGGCACCGATGCTGCTGGTCTGGGATCCCACTCCAAGAACCACTGCTGAACGTGGTATTATTGCCTCTGTTAAACAGTGTGTATTCTGTTTACAAGTTGGCCCCTGATTGATTGAAAGGCCTTCATGGAAACAGCACACCACCCAGATCCGCCAGTTTGGTTTGGCATTTTGGGTGGGGGGAAGTAACCCCAACACCCGCTTCTACCCTGGACCTTCCCACAAGAGGAATCGCTGTCTTGGTCTGTCTGTCCACACCCACACCTGCACCTGCACCTGTGCCATCGCTCCTGTGCCCTGGCTGCAGAGCCCTCAACCTTCCTTGGCGATATGCAGTCCCGTCTCTCTCTGGTGCGTCTCCCACCGCCTCTCTGGGCCTGCTCTGCTAATTCCATCCATCTGAATTCTGATTTCTCTGACCTGCACTAAGTGAACAAGTTAACAACTCCTTCTGGGCTTTTTCAAGTCAACGAACATGTACTGAATTGTTCACTGTGTGCAGAGCCTCATGCTGGATGCTTTGCTGGAGATACAAAGATGAGAAAGACCCTACCCTCATAGGGTAATCGTTTCTGCGCATTTGAGAACGGTATTATTGGCTTGTGAAAGATATGGAGAAAACACTTGCAGAACCCCCCACTGGAGGGAGAACTACTGTGGTTGGGTGAATCATTTGATTAGCAAGATGTGGAAGAGGTAAGACCCCCAGAAATATGCTCAAGTGGTGATGGATAGAGGCTGTCCTGCCTTCTCAGACAGTGAGCCCCTGCTAACCACGAGACTCTGTCTTACAGAGCGGGAGCTATGCAAGTCTGCGGCTGGAACTGAGAAGTTGGGGGGGGCGGTGAGGAAGGGAGTGGTCTCAAGAGAAAGAAGGGGCCTGGGGGCTGGTGGCCGGCGTCGACTTCAGAGTTGGAAACAGTCTAATAGTGATTTACATACACTGTTTGCTGGTGTGAGTTGTAACCTCTCTCACCCCTCCATGGAATCATTAATAAAGTTACTTGCTTCCTGGGACTATCACAGAGTAGTGAGTTTTTTTGTAAGTTTGGAGTGGGGTGAAATCAGTTCCTATAGAACGGCCACACATGAGTTCTGTCTATATTTTTGACTTTCTCATCTTTCTCTTTCTCCTCCGTGTAAATATATCCCGAGCAGCCTGTGGCCCAGACCGGATTTTACATTCTTTCCCTCAGCCCTGGTTATTGAGCAGCACATGTCTGTTGATGAACTGATTTCTGGGTTTAGTTTTGCTTGCCCAGATACGCCTGCCATTAGGCTGCACAGAGTCCCTACAGGCCCGAATATGGCAACGCAGATGTGGGTGGAACACGGGCCTTTACTCTTTTTTGATGGTTTTGTTTATTTTTCTGATTATGAATAAATAAATGCACACATTACTGAGCATTTGGAAATATTAAAAAGTATGAGGAAAAATGAAAATCACACATAATTTCACTGCTCAGAGATTGCTACTACCAACAGAATGAACTCCCTCTATATATGTATGTGTTTATGCATATATGTATATATATAGGGAGGCTATATATGGAGAGTATATGTATAATATGTATTCATATATATTCTTTTTATATATATTTAATCAAGTTGGGTTCATGTTTATAAAATCTTATATGCTGCTTTTTTCACTTAACTTTTTGATATAAGCATTTATCCTTTTGATTACATCTTCCTCAAAAATATAATTTAATGTCAGCATCATATTCATTCATATAGACTATCATAATGTACTTATTGAATTCCCTATTGTTGGATAATTATATTTTCTCCACTTTTTGCTATCATAAACAATGCTACAGTGAACAGCCATGTACATATACTGTAACTTTACATTCGGGGAGACCTGTCTTTTGACACATGAAAAGCACATTTGTCTTCAGAAGCAGACTTTTGTACTCACCTGAAATGAAGCTCAAAAGATACAGCCCTAGTGGACCATGCAGAGTTTCAAAGGGCTTGCCAAAGGCATTGTACATGAAGAAGGCTGTCCCCGTCATGGTGAAGACAATAAGGATCGTGGAGAAGAGAATGACATTGACATGGATGCTCACCGGGATCACTTTGAGCAAATCTGGGAAAACTGAAGATAAAACAAAGATTAGAAGAAATTTCATTAGCGGTAGTCTGCAAGGGTAATTTGAAAAATTAAATCCCTCTTTTTTTTAACTTCAAATATCACTAAAATCCTTTAGATGAATACTTTCTCACTTACTAATTTACAAAGGATTTACAAAAAGGTTTAAATACGGGATTATTTTATAGAACTTCCAGTAAAAACTAGCAAAGGAGAGATTTGAGGGAATTTTTCTTTCTGCCTTTGGTCGTATATAATTACTTAAATAAACAAGTGCTGGCTTTATAACCAAAAACTATACATTTTGATGACCAAACTTGTAATGACATTTCTCAGTAGACATCTTTTTTTTTTTCCTAATCTGTCTTAACCTGTGATGACGTTTTCAGTTTGGGGCTATCTAGGGGAGTTCAAACATCCGGAGGTTTGTATATTTCCTTTGCTGCAAAAAACAATTGTTTCTAGTCTACACCAAGATTAAAGAATGGGATATTTTCAGTCAACTTCAATATTTTGATGTAGGACAAGCTGTGGGAAAATAATTGCTGGTGATACAAGAAATATTTTCCATTCAGAAAACACGCCAAATCTATTTCTAGATTTTGTGTTCAGGGCAAGTTTTTCTTGTTTGCAGAGGAAATGAAAGACTTCATAAATGTAGGGTTTCTCTTATTTGGTGAGACATCAGCAAACCTGGCAAGACCAGTCTGGGAAGTTTAGTTCAGTCCATGTTAGTTTTCTAGACTTTATTTATTGAGCACCTACTTGTGCCAGGCATTGTTCTAGGCGCTGGAAATAGAGCCATAAAACAAGATAGACAAGGTCCCTGTGGTCTTGTGGCATTTATAACCTAATGGGAACAGATAGACAGATAAACAAGCAAACAAATATGATAGCTTACTGCCAAAGATGGCCACCATCAACTGCTTCCCTCCTCTTACACACGTCATTGCCCCTTTAAGAGGGAGAATGTATTCCTCGATCCCCTTGAGCCTGGGCTGGCCTGTGACTGCCCTGACCTCTTGAATATGGCAGCAGAGGTACACCGAGCCAGCTCCAGGCCTAGCCTGTAAGAGGACTGGCCTCCCTTTCTCTTGGAGGCTCGAGCTGCCATCAGGAAGTCCAGGCTGCTGTGCTGGAGACCGAGGCCACCGGAGGAACACCAGACGCGGGAGGGAGGGGTCTTGGGCACCCGGCCCAGAAGAGCCCCTGGGTGCCTCCAACCCCTCTAGCTCTTCAGCGGCAGCAGGAGGGGCAAGCCAGTCAAGACCTGTCCAGCTGGACTGATAAGGTTTTGTTTTAAGCCCTGAGCCTTGGGGGCTAGTATGCAGTGGTCACACAAAGACCCTTCTGAGAGTGATAATGCTGTGGAGAAACACGACGGGGAAGGGGATTTTGAGTGAGTGGGTGAGTGGACGAGGCGGTCGGGAAAGTGGCAGCTGAGCTGACACCTGACGTTGAGAAGGAAGTGACCGTGCAGAGATCTGGGGGAGAGGACTCCAGGGAAAGGCACACGGCTGGGGCGAGAGTGAGCCCGTGAGCCCGGAGAATGAGGGCAGGCGGCTGTGGGATGGCTGTGCTGGGGTCAGATCGCTGCCCCGCTAGATCCTGGTCTACTGACTGTGGTAAGGAGCTGCTTTTAATTCTAAATTCGTTTGGAAGTCACTGGAGGGTTAAGTAGGAGAGCGACACCATCTGCTTCCTCATGTACAAAGATCACTCTGATCTGGCTGCTGAGTAGGGAGTATAACGGTGGCAGGAGAAGGGGAAAGTGGGGAGACCTGCGGGGTGGGGAGAGCTACTTCCAGTGGCAGGAGTTGGGGCCTGGCCTACGGTGCTGGTAGTGAGAGGTTGTCAGATTGGGAACAAATCTTGGAGCTCGTTGAAAGAAAGGACTCAAGGATAACTCCTAGATTGTCGGCCTGAGTCAATGGTGATGCTGTTAACGGAGACAGAGAAGTGGAGGGAGCAGGTCTGGGCGTGGGAGAGGGAAGTGAGGCAAGAGTTCTGTTTGAGATGTTTTGAGTTTGAGTTGGTTTGAGACATTCAAGCAGAGATGTCAAATAGGACTCAGACGTCTGGAGGTCCAGGGAGAAGGCGGAGGTGTGTAAGGAGGTGGAACTGGGGTGATGGAAACCAAGGTGCCTACAGCGTGAAATTTAAGGAGACGGTCACTCCCCAGGGCCAACCCAGCACTTGCACAAGCCCAAGAGTGAATGAGTGTCTCCTTAAATTTTATGACTTAGGTGCCTCCAGGGCCTCACCCTAGTCCTGGCCATGTTCTTCAAGCCCGAGGGTCGGCTATCACCTATGGAGAAGCAGTGGTCAGAGGAGAGAAGGGTCGGGGAGGGGCCCTGCGGCTCCCCCCGTTCGCCTGCACAGAAGAGAGGGGCAGCCGGCCAAGGAGACTGAGAAAGGGAGCTGCTGAGGGAGGAGAAAATCCACGAGGGGGACAGCGGGGAAGTGAAGGGAAGAGAACATTCCGAGGAGGAGGGCAGTGGTCAGCTGCACAAATCTATGCCCCACGGCCACAGGCTCTAGTCCTGACCGGGCGTCAGAAAGCAACCAGGTGAGGGAATTGCATTGGTTCAGAACAAACCCCACACCGCTGCTGCTCTAACTAGATGTGTGCGTGCATGAAATACGCTCAGCGCCACCAGACAGGGGGCGCCCTCTTCCTGAGCGGACAGGGGCGTTTGTGTCCTGATGGTGTTCATGTCCTCCCTCAGTGTCCTCCTTCGGTGTACTCCCTCAGTGTCCTCACTCGGTGTTCTCAGTGTCCTCACTGGGTGTCCTCTGTGTACTCCCTCAGTGTCCCTCGGTGTCCCTCAGTGTCCTCCCTCGGAGTCATGGGCAGGTCATTTGACTGCTGAGGTGTAGTTGTACTGTATTTCATTGATCTTCTTACAATAAGAGAAATGCACATTAAAACTATGAGATACCATTTTCCACCAACCGTATTCACAAAGTTCAAACCATTTAGCAATATACCGTGTTAGCTAGGGTGTAGGGAAATGGGGACCCTTGTGCAGTTTTCTTGGGGCTGTAAATTGGTACAGTTTCCTTCGAGGCAGTTGGGCAATACCAATACAGTATCAAAATGCACATATCCTTTAGCTCAGCAATTTTATTTTCAGCAGTGTATCCTATGGATATTTTTGCACATGAATCCAATAAAATATTACAAGGATATTCATTGCAGCATATTTTTTTTGTAAAAACAAAAGGTTGGAAGTAACTTGCATGTCTATCTGTATGGCATCCACACAATGGAATTTAAGTCGATGATTACAAACAATGAAGCAAATCAATGAGAACAGATATGGAATTATCATCAAAATGTGATGTTAGATGAAACACACAAACCAAACAAATAAAGAGAAATGTGCACCATTCTATCATTTGGGAGAAAGCCAAAGGGGAATGTATATAATAACAAATAGTTATTGAAGTACTGTACTCGTCTGATTTAATGCTCTCAACACCCCCATAAGATAGGTACTGTTATCAGTCCCACTTACCAGAGGAGAAAACGGGCTCAGAGGCTGTGTAACCAGCCCAGGAGTTACATTTAGTAAGTGGCAAAGCAGAGATTTGAACTCACATCTTGACTTGTGACAACCACACTGCGGCAGCCTCAGGGACAGGCGTGCTTGTCTAGGCAGAGGCTATTTCTAGAAGGCGACATGTGAAACCGGTAACATTGCTTCTGGGGAGGGAGACTGAGGGATATTTCATTATGTACCTTTGGGTACTGTTTGGAAAATTTTTTTTACTGCCCTGCAAGCATTATCTATTCAATGAATACATAAATACTTAAAAAAAAATAATTAAAAGGATAAATGAGGGCATAAAAAATTCCTATCTGTTCTAGATTAAAAGAGACTTAAAAGACATATTAACCAAATGCAATATATAAATATTGTTTGTGAGTTGAACAAACCATTTGTAAAAGATATTTTTGAGATAACCAGGGCAAATTGAACGTAGACTGGGTATTAGATATTACATAACTATTATTGATTTTGTTGGTTATGTTAGTGGTATTGTGGCTGTGTTTTTAAAAGTCTTTATCAATTAGAAATGATATGGATGGATGGATGGATGTGTGGGTGGGTGGGTGGGTGGGTGGATGGATAGATAGGCAGACGGAGATAAAAAAAATTCCTCAGTTCTGTTTGGAAGAACGGGGTAGTGGCAATGTGGATGTTCAAGTTCATAGGAGCCTAGCCTCTGCTGCCAGCGCCTGCAGTCGTCCCCTCTGCCCTGTGTTCTGGGGGCACAGAGAGAACCAGCTACTTTTGCACTATGGTCACCTGCCCTCTGGAGCTTCCCGCTGCTGAGACAGCTCAGTCAATCTGACTGCTATTCTCGCACTCCATCAGCCGCTGACTGGTTTTTACTAGCAGTTATCCAAAAACCTGCTTCCATCTATCTCCCCACCTAAAAGAAGTGGCACTGTCTTCGTCTCTGATAGAGTAGCTAGGTGAAGCCTGTCTGAAAATTGAGGCTTGTTACCAAATTGAAACAAATGCAGAAAGAAGTTGCACTGATTTGGCTCCTGGAAAGAAAAGCCAGAAGCTAAAATAAATTGTCCTGTGGAGAATTTAATTCTTGTAAAGTCTCTTAAAATTCCCACTGTTGTGAGAAAGTCACCCAGCAGGGCACCCGTCCCCGCATGTTACATTTAGATTTTATCAAGTTTCTTTTTTTGATGAGAATTCCCTGAAGCTGTAATGACCAACCAGAACTCTGGAAACAACCCTCCATTTCCAACCAACCCTAAAAGGATTTTTCCTTGGCTGAAGCTGAGCGCAAACTATTCAAATAAATATTGGGGATGTCACTTTCATGGTATTGGATATTGTGTACAGTAGGAGGTAGATTTGTTTGGTCTTTTAGGTTTAGGATGACAACACAGAAAAAGGATTTGAACATTTTGATCTGTGGAGGGGTGTCAGTAATCCAGCAGTCACTTCTGGCCTCCAGAAATTACTGGATTCGCT